ATGAACTCTGCTGAGTAAAGGATTTAGCAAAAGTCCAGCATACTTAAACAGCTCCTTAAATAGCCACGGGCATACTGTTTAGCTTGTTCTGCCTACTGTGAGATGATGGTGGAGGGGGAGAAGGAGCCAGGTATGAAGAATCCAAACCAAGGGGCTCAAGCAAAGAGCTTGATGGATGCTAAGAAGTAATTAATTATCCAAGAAGGTGTCTTCTTCCTCTCCTTTTTCTTTGGTCTTTTTGAGACAGGGTTTCGCTATGCAGTTCAGGCTGACCTTGAACTCACTTTGTAGCCCAGACTGTCCTTGAACTCACAGAGATCCTCCTGCCTCAACCTCCCGAGTACTGGGACCAAGAAAGCTTCTAATTGGGAAAAACTGCTGGAAATAATTCTAGGTAGGCGCTTGTGCCACTGAGCTGTATCCCTGGCCCTGGAAATAATTCTAAAACAAAGCCCTCAGGCTAGAATTATGGTTAAGAATTAAAGATGAACAAACATTGGAAATGAAGGGAAAAAGTAAGTTATGTCAGGGGTTCTATCTGTGCCATTCCATCCACTGGTATAGACAAGGAGAAATTAAAGCATAAAGGAAGAACAAACATAAGGCTGAAATGGCTGACCAGAATCTAAAAGGTAAGTTAAAAATCTGTTCTATAAAATCATAAGCAAGTTAGGATTTGAACCTTTTGATGACTTCCTGGACCATCTCATTTGTTCTCATATCTGCTAGCCTATTCTCTAGAATAGATTCTGACTATCTTCTAACAACAAAAAGAAAGCCTGAGAAAATGTAATGAAAACTGTTCTTTAGTCATTGATACTAGAGAAGAAAACAGGAGACTCTCTCTCACCAAGAGTCACATATTTTGGTGTACATTCCAGTTAGTTACCTATATTTACATAACTCAATTTGTGGAAAAATTTGTTCACATGTTCTTTTTGAACTATGTTGCACAATACAGATAAACTAACATTAAACCATTTAGCATTTTGTGTAAATTTTAAAATTCCTTTAATAAAGACTTCTTAATGAATTCTAACCAACTATGTAACTCCTTGTGTGTGGGGTGGTTTTTTTTTTTTGGTATGGAGAATAAATCCAGTGCCTTTGCACTGAGCTACATCCCCAGCCTCTTTTTTTTGTGGGGAGGGATTTGAGACAGGGTCTTGCTACATAGTTTAGGGTGGCCTTGAACCTGAGAACTGGAATTATATGTGTGGGACTGTAGAATAGCTTTTTTTAGCCTGGCTAGCACCTATATAGCCCAGGCTAGCCGTGAACTCATAGTGATTTTCCTACCTCAGCCTCCCAGGTGCTAGGATTATAGGTGTGTGCTACCACACCTGGCCTCTTTTTGTTTTTTAAAGATAGGATCTAAGTTGCTCAGCTGGCCTCAAACTTTTGGACATACTACTTCAGCCTTTTGAGCTGCTGGGATTACAGCTGTGTACCACTGCACCTGGCTCCCTTGTGAATTTTAAATTAACATTTAAAAGTAAAGTATACATAATTGAAAAGGGATGTAATTTTTAGTGTATTGTAAATATGAATGTTTTAACAACTTTCTTTTACAATAATATTCCCTACAAAGCATCCATTCTTGATTAATGGATAGAAAGTCAGGTTTTTTTTAAAAAATTTCTCTGAGAAAATGGAGTTTTTATTCCTAGAGTGGGGCAGTGAGTAGGTAATGCCTCCTTTTTTTTTGCATCTGTTTGTCTAGTGTCTCCCTGGCCCCCAGTATGTTTTGGTGCCTCATTTGCTTCAAAGACTTTCCTCCAATATGTGGCAATCCAGAGATAATCTGTCTGAATCAGACTAAGTGAAGAACCAGTGCCTGGAAGCTTTGTACATACAGATGGGCTTGCTGTTTTCTAGTTGTTCAGTGATTTAGGTAGAATCTTTGATGTCACTCACTTTGGGCTTTTCCTCTTTGGCTAGTAAGATCTCAGAAAAGACTATATAGGAGAGGGAGTTTTGGCTGCTAATCTGGGGAAAAAAATAACACTTTTGGTTTTTTTTTTTGAGACGGGTGTTGCTGTGTAGTTCAGAATGGCCTTGAACTCCCTGTGTAGCCCAGGCTGGCTTTAAACTCATGGTGATCCTTCTGCCTCAGCCTCCTGAGAACTGGAATTATATGTGTGGGACTGTAGAATAGCTTTTTTTAGCCTGGCTAGCACCTTTTGAAACAGGCTTTTTACCTTAGCCCCCTGCCCTCCTATAGTTGGTACTGAAATTTCTGAGTCTTTAGAAGATTTTATGGTGTAAATCAGGATAGTTTTCACTTTTCCATTGCCAATGATAAGTTTAGCTGTTTTGGGAGCCATTATCACTTGTTCATCTGCTTTCCAGCTTTTATTTTATTTTATTTGTTTATTTTTGAGACAGGGCCTTACTATATATAGTTCAGGGTAGCCTGGAACTCACGGTGATTGTCCTGCCTCAGCCTCCCAAGTACTCCAGCTTTTGAAATTTTGCTGTATTTTTTTTTCTTTCTGATACCCTCATCCTTACATATTCACATTGTTTTAAAAAATCCCTTTATTATAGTTTCAGTAAAATTTCAGGACAGAGCAAAATTATGTAATTTTAACCTGAAACCCACACAGCTGTTTTAATAAGAGGATTTCCACTCTGCCAAAGCCTTCAGAAACTAAAGATGTATCAGTGTATTTTACCAGATGCAGACATCACCATATGAAAAGGAACAAAAGAAAAGGAACTATATATTCTCTGGTTAACTTTAACTGGTAATAAAAAGTGAACTCTGCTAGAGGGCTTAAAACTTATAATTAATATTTTTTGCTGTTAAAATCTAGGACAAGCCTGATGAAATGACAGACACATATAAGGAATCAGGTGTACTCATTATATAGTGACAGTTTTGCAGTAGACAGACTGAAGTTGACACTGATGATCCTCAACTATATCACCTCTTGCCTGGCGATTTCCCAGGCCACAGAGCCAGTCCATTCACTAAGTGTTTTTTTCTGCTGTTCCTTCTTAAGCAATCCTAACACTTCACTGCCCTAGTCACTGCCCCTAAAAACAATTTAAAGCTATTCACTGCTGCCTCTGTTTTTACTACAAGCCTTTTTGTCCTGTTATTTTCTTTGTCTGTTATTCCTTCCCTTGACGTTTCTCAGTGTTGGCACGTAAAAGATCTGGCTTTTCTCTACTGCGGAAGGTAATCCCATCAGGAACATGCAGACTTGTGTAGTCGTGCATCTTTTTCATTTCACGGATCTGTAGAGTATCTATGTCAGGACAGGTCCTACTGTAGCCATTAGTCATGAAACAATGAACACACAAAGCCTCTGCTAGTGGAGGAGATGGCAATAAAGTCAGTCAGATGGGCTGTGGTATTGGAAAAAAAAGCTGAAGTACAGAAAGGGATACGGTGGGATGGAGCTTGTTACAGAGAATGATTAGAGAAGACTTCTCTGAAAAGGAAGGGGGCTATGTGTAAGAGAAATACGGGTTCTGTAGCGTAAAGGAACAAGCATGGAGGTGTGAGCAGGGAGTGCACCTGCCCTGCTGAAGGAACAGCAAAGAGACCTGGGGAAGCAGAGAACAAGCGCTGTTTTTCTCTGAATGTGTACTGTCTTTGGCATAGCTTACTCTTCACAAGGCTTTAATATAATCTTTTAAATGTGAACAGATTCAGATTTTAACTTATTTGAAAGGCTGAGATTTAAATCCAGTAAATAAGTGGGAATATTACTGAATAAGTAATTATTTGCTTCAATAAGCATTCCGGAATAGCATTCCTATAAACAGTCTCAATTACAGACACAGTGCTTATTTTTTAGTTAGGGAAGATAGTACAGGGGCAAAATTTAAGAACCAGAGCTGGATCTGAGTTCTGGCTCTACATTTACTTGTTATCAATGATCTTGAGTCAGAGTTGTTACTATATATACCCTTTTATTCCAGTTTCATAATGTGAACGTAGTACAGTGGTTATGGGGAAAGAATACTGGACTAAATACCTCTGTTGGTACTTATTAAATATGTGGCCCTCAACAAGTCATTTAAAAGCCTCAGTGTTCCTTACTTGTAAAAAGAAAAGTCTCTACTTCATAACATTATAAAGTTAAATAATGTTATAATCTATGAAAACAATTTGTGTACTACAATTTTTCTCTTTTTTTGGTACTAGAGATTGAACCCAGCCTTTGCACTGAGCTACATTCCAACCGTTTTTATTTTGAGACAGCATCTTGCTAAGTCACTAAGTTGCCTGAGCTGGACTCCAACTTTCAGCCTCAGAGTGCTGAGACTACAGGAGTGCACTACTGCACATGGCTTAAGGTATGTATTTTAAAACTATTCGTAGAACTTTCCAAACTTGTATTTTAGTGAATTTGCTTTTCATCAGAGTGCTTTCTAAATTTAATTCTACCTTTTGATTTACCTATTTATTTGCACTTAGGAGTTATATGCAAAATTTATCTTTCAAGTCAGCTCTATTTTTACCTATGTAAATAATATATAATAACTATATCCTTTAAATTATGTAGCAAAATTCAATAGATATAAACAACTCAACGTGAAGTCCTTAAAAAAGGATAAGAACTCAGATTTTCACTTTCACTTTATTGACTGTTTTGCAACAGAAAATACGAGTACCTAGGAAAAAAAGACTGAAAATTACAATTTACAATCATTTTATATACTTCAATAACTATCAATGACTTCTTAGTGTATGTGGGGGCTATTTTTGTTTTCTAACCCTGTACTGCTTAGCTAAGTCACAGACTGCTAAACATAAACCTGCAGCTGTATATGTATTATCAAATATTTGATATAACTTGTATGTCTTGATGACTGTACTAGAGAAAGGTTACTGTATATTTGGTACCATATTGCTATCCATTAGTGGTCTTATATTGCTGAAGAGTAATTTAAAATGGAATCTAAAAGAAGTGTGAATTGAGGCTTTAAAATATTCCCACTGGTCTTTAAAAGTACAAGAGATTTGACACAAGGGAACTTACTCCATGCCCTGTGCAGTCTGCCGTGCAATATCTATAAGTTTGATCATCTCAAATTTGGTCTCGATGATGTGGAGATGGTGGTATAAGCTGGAGCCCTCACACCACTGGGTAACAATAGCTAGCTGTGGCTTTGTGGAATAGCCCATGAAGAGTAGGATATTCACATGTCGTGTTTTCCTGTACAAAGAAATGTGACAGTAAATAATAAGTGTCAATAAACGTTAGCAATTCTTAAAAAAAAGAGACAGCAATCTACTTATTAGAAAGATGTTGTCAGAAAAAGCTATTAAGAAGAATTAAGTAAAGCAACAAAAGGATAAACTCAGAAGAGACCTGGAATTATCTAGCTTAACCTCCTTCTCTATTTAGAATAATCTTTCCTTTTTTTTTAATTCGTCTGACTGAAAAATAAAGGTCACTTAAATACCCTCAATGATGGGAAGCTCATCACTTGAGAATGGAGCTGCCTCTTACCTCTTTGCTTAAGTGGTTCTAGCATTAGAAAGCTTTCTCCTGTGAAAACAAAATCATTTTCCTCCAGTCTCCACAACTGGCTTCCCTGTTCTGCTCTTTGAAATAAAGAAGGGTAACTTTGCAGCTTCTTCAATACAATGCCTTCTCTGGATGGTGTCCTCAGGTTTGTTCGCTATTTGCCTCCGAAGTTTTAGTTGTAGGACCCTCCCCAGGTAAACTGTCCTACCCTGCACTTACTCTCACTTGTCCACGTTCCTCAAGTCCCAGGAGCCACAACTAAGCAGAACCTCTAAATGCGCACCGATACACTTACAACTTTGAGGGTATTATTTCCCTAAAAGCTATTATTGGTACATGTCCAGAAGACCGTAATTCTGTTAATTCAGTCTAGGATTAAGTCTTCTATCAGCTGTATCATATAATATTGCATAGCACTTAAAAGAATATGGTTAAAAAACAAAATATAATTAGATATATGATGTTTCTCTTTATTTACTCATTTTGAGTAAATCTGCAAAGCTAATAGAGACTGCTGAAAACCAGAAACTAATAATAATAAGGTCCTTCTCTGGAAAACAGCAACTTGCATGGGCTCACCTGAGTACTCCTACTTCATTTTTGAAGGCCTGTAACTGTTGAGGTGTGGGTGCTGTCACATTCAACATTTTCACTGCCACATCACCTAAAAGGTAAGTGTCATTCCAAATGTCATTCCAACTTTTAAAATTTAAAACTATGAATCATTTTTTGTGACTTTCACTAATTATTGCAGCCCTAAATCCAAACCATTATTGAACTGCAAATAAATTAAACCTAAACTATCAAAATTGCTTTAGTGTTCCAAGGATTAAAAAGTAAACTAACAGTAATACTCCTACGTTAATATTTCCAAATACCAAACCAAAAAACAGCTGGTCTTGTTTTTCCCCTGGAAATTTAGTTTTACTTATTAAGAACCCAGAATATTTTCCCAATTATTTAATAATATTAAATGAGATGCATTTATTAATTGAATGTTGAAAACAAAGATAACAGGTCTTTCCAGTGGAGTTTGGCTTAAATACAAAACCACAGACTTCTTCATCAGAGTAGTTAACATTTTTTCTTCAAATCTATGAATTATTCATGATGTTTTTAATTAGGAAAACGGCTAAATTATAACTATAATTTAAAGAATGACTTCACATCAAACATCTGTAACTCTTACACACTGCCAGATGTGTAAATTGATACAATCGCTTTGTAACACTGTTGACAATATTAAACTGGACATATGCAAATTGTGTGGCCCCACAAATCCCTCTTAGGTATAAATCCAACAAAAAGACCTTGAAAGATGCATACTGAAAAGATTCACAGAAATATCATTTAGAACAGCACTAAACTACCCAATATTCGTGTTACACTAGAAGAAATCAGGTTATAGTCACACAATGGAATACTACACAGAGAACAAATGACTTCCAATTACAGCCAACAATGCAGGTGAATCCTACACACAACGCTGGAAGGGCAGGACTGAAAAGAGTCCCCGCTATATGATTTATGCTGAGGTCAGGAGGTGGTTACTTTTGGGGGAGGAGTGGCCTCTCAGGTCATGAGGGTGGCTTCTAGAATGCCAGCAATGTTCTGTCCATTTTACTTTGTGAGATTTTAGGTACTTGTACATTTATACGTACTTTTTATTACTATTATTTTTACTTCAAAGAGAATTTAAAAAAATACACAATTTCAAAACATGATAGGAAATTAACAATAGTTGTTATACTGCATACTGTTATCTTCAAAGCAGTTGTTCAGATTACAGATATAGGCATGCAAGATTGATCAAACAATTAGGCATTAGCTGTTCCTTTCAGTAAACCAATAGAAATGAGTAGTACAATTATCTTAGCCATCTTGTGTGTGTATGTATATATATATGCATATATTGTATATATATTTTTTCCCTTCCTTCTTTCTTGTCTGCTTTCCCCTATCCCAGTTGTTCTTTCCTTTTGAGCAGTTTCTTGCTCTTTCACAAGAGCTACTCTACTTTTCAGATTTTATTTACTCTTTCAGTTTCTTCCATTAAGGAGATAATACAATGCTTACACATGTGGGTCTGACTTATTTCACTTATGAGTACGGTCTCTAGTTGCATTCATTTACCTATAAAAGCCTTGGGTTTATCTTCCTTTATAGCTGAGTAATACTCCATTGTGTAAAAATACATCTTTTTATCCATTCCTCAGTTGATGGGCATTTGGGTTGTTTCCAAGATTTAGCTATGACAAATTGCGCTGCTATATGCATGGGTGCACATATATCGCTGTGGTATGATGTTTTCAATTCCCCTGGAAAAATACCCAGAAGGAGAATAGCTGGGTCAAATGGGACATCTAATCCTAGTTTTTTGAGGAATCTCCACACTGATTTCCACAGTGGTTGTACCAGTCTGCATTCCCACCAACAGTGGAGAAGGGTTCCTTTTTCCCCACAGCCTTGCCAGCATTTGTTATTGGTTGACTTCTTGCAGCCATTCTTTCTGTGGTGAGATGGAATCTCAGCGCTGTTTTAATTTGCATTTCTCCAATGACCAATGATGTTGAACATTTTTTCATGTATTTATTTGCCATTCATATTTATTCATCTGAGAAGTGTATATTCATCTCAGATGCCCATTCTGAATTTTGGAGCCCTTATTTTTAAAATTCTTTTTATGTTCTAGATAGAAGTTCTTTGTTTGAGGGACACTTGGCTAAAATTTTTTCCCAGTTTGGTTTTCTTTTTACTCTGTTGGTGATTTCTTTCTTTCTTTTTTTTTTTTTTTCTTTTTGAGACAGGGTCTCACTATGCAGTTCAGGCTGGCCTTGAGCTCACTTTGTAGCCCAGGCTGGTCTCAAACTTGCAATGATTCCCCAGCCTCAGCCTCCTGAGTGCTGGGATTACAGGCGTGTGCCACTACGCCCGGCAGTGATTTCTTTTGATGTGCAAAAACTTCTCAATAAGATGAGACCTCAGTTGTTGATTCTTTGAAGTATTTCCCATGCAGTTTGGTTTTTGTTCATATATGTACTTTTTAATATATATGTTATACTTTTGTACATTTTTTATTTTTCCTAATTATCAAAGTGTTCATTTTATTAGCTGTGCCATAATTTGCATATCACTTAAATGTTTAAAAACATTTTGAAAGCATAAAGAAAGAACTCTTCATTGTCATGTCACTCAAAAATGACAATTATTATACTGCTATATATGTACTAGATTTGTATATGTATGCAATATGAATACCTATGAGCCAGGTGTGGTGGCACACGCCTATAATCCCACACTCAGGAGGCTGAGGCAGGAGGACTGTTGTGAATTCGAGACCAGCCTGGACTACAAAGTGAGCTCAAGGCCTGCCTGAACTGCATAGTGAGACCCTGTCTCAAAAAAGACAAAGAAATAAAATAAAATGAAACAATTAAATTTTAAAAAAAAGAATACCTATGAATACGTATGAAAGGATAACCCAAAGTGATATCTACTAAAATTCTCACAGCAATTTTAAAAATTGTGTTATATGTGTTTCTCTATAGCTCAATAATGTAGGGTTTTATATAATTTAATATACTAAAGGCACCCTTCCACCCTAGTAAATGTATATCTATTATATTACTTTAAATCCTATACCCAGGTATCAAGTTATACAGCCAATCCTCTAGGCTCTTATTTGTTTTCATTTTTCACTAGGAAATCTCCAAGGAATATAGTTTCACACACATCTGTTCATTCCTGTCCAATTATTTCCTCAAGTTAGTGTCCTACAAATGGAACTGTAGGACACCTACTTTGTCCTCGATACACACAATGTCAAATTGCCTCCCAGAAAGTTTGCAGCAATTTATTTTCCTACCACAGCACAATATTCTCAATTCTAAATAGGATCAATTTAAAAACATCTTTTTCCATTTGAGAGGTAAACAATTACTATTTTTTGAATTTGGTGTTTTTAGATGACTAGTAAGGCTGAACAAGTTTTACATGTTTACCGACCACTGACGGTTCTTCCTTTGCTAAGTGTGCTTCTAATATCCTTACTTGTGATTATCAACAGAAAAACTTCTACAAGAAAAAAGAAATTATTTGCAGGACTACCTAACCAGAAGGATCTTTATCTTTAAAAATTATTACTGTAAAATAACAATAGGAGTCCTGGTTGCTGTGAACCCAGTTTCTAGCTCCCGTAACAGAAAATATTGCAGAACTCCTGCAACTGATTGGATGTTTAATAATGCAAACAGCAAGTACTTTCTTTGATTCTGTTGAACATATCATATCATTACGGCTTGTGACAATGTCACAATACATACCATGCCACTTTCCCTTATAGACTGTTCCAAAGGACCCGGATCCAATTCTTTGTCCTACTGTAATCTGTCCATCAGGAATCTCCCAGTCATCACTTGAATCCCGTCTACCAAGTGTTTTCTTGATAGAAATAGTCCAAAAGTCAAAGTCAGGACAAGCCAAACAAGAAAGAAAACATTATCTTTCATACTGAGTTTGTTAACCTATGCCTGAAAGGTATATCACTCAGGAAAAAAACCAAGTTTCTTTTTAAAAAAAGCACATTCTAAAGGCATAATAATTAAAGGTATGTATAAAAATATAAAACTTAAATTTTTGACTAGTCAGTAGTAGAATGAAAATAATTCATTAAACATCAAAATTATCTAGTGAATATATACAGAAATGCCTATTACTAAAATCAATAAAATAAATAGCTTTTTACCATTTGGAGGACTTTCAGGAACAAGGTAAGTCTTATATATGTGACTAGTTTTAGCTCAAAATTCCTCAAAATTTAAGTCAACATATTATGGTAACAGTTGACTCCTTCTCAAGTTACCCTTTTCCTGTCAGTGCTAAATTTATTTATTTAGATTATCTCGTCTGGTCTCTTTAAAAAAAATCAATCCATGCAGTTACTTTGGTAAAGGATCTACTACTACTACCTACCCAACCGGTACTAGGAAGTTAATTAGAGCTGAGAGCAAAAATGAACGTTGTAGGAATCATGCTTTAAGCAAAACACTATCAGCTCTTAAATTTATTTGATTATGAGAATTTCACATCACGTACAGACACAATATATCGGAAAGATGACAGTACTTTTTGACTATGATTTCTAGAAAGAAAAAACTTAGAGGAAAAAAATATAAAATATTTTTACCATTCGATTCCTGTCCTCTGAGGATGAAGATGACTTCCTTTCTCGCTGAGGTCCTGGAGATTTCTGTAAGGCTTTCACATTAGTGAGTGAGCCAGGTAATGAGGCAGGTGGGGTGGCAGACAAACCTGTGGTTGATCCTAAATTAGAGAAAGGCAAAATGTATCCACTAAGGAGGGGCAAGTGTAATCATGTATTAAGGGGCAGAAAGTGGGGAAGATTCAGACTTATTTTTAAAATAAGTGCATGTTCAAACACTGACCTTTGGGAAAGGATAGGCAAAAAGAAAAGGCCCTTTTCTAATCAGAACTACATTTAGCTTTCTGATCCATTTAATGACCTCTAATGATAGATACATACTTTGTTTACTGGTGCAAAGTATAGAAAAAAAATTTAGAACTGACAGATACTAAAGAATACTCCCAAGTTTCTGTGTCTTTCACTAAAAAATAAAAAAAAGCAAGACCACTTAAAAGCTTACATAATAAATAAGCTTTTAATTATTTTACATTTCTTCAGTAGCTAATCAGTATTTTAAAAGATGGAAACCCCAAAATGAATAACTTCTAGTAATGCCTTAATGTTGAAAATATCTGGCTCTTTATTATTAGCAACTAAATTTAAATATAATCCCAAAGTATAAGCTCTATTATTTATAAGATTAATGGTCAGTGGTTCCTGGGGGCCTTTTCTACTAAGCATACATAGATTATTTGTTACCTGTACACCAAAATAAATGTAAGCAAAGCCAAGTAGGTTTTTTGAGACTTTCTTAAAATTCTTTGCCTTTGTAAAGTGAGCAAAGTAAGTCCTACAGCCTTGAAGCCAAGTTACTACAAATTCCAGTATTTTATAGGCCAAGTGAGCCCGAGGGGCACTCTTCAGAAGTGGACTCAGTTGGCAGGACTGCAAATTTTCTGGTGGGTACATTTCTAAATGCTAACTCTGGTAAACATTCTAAGTTTACATACAGTAGCGACTGCTTTGGAGGGGCTCACAGATAACTCTTAGTGGGGCCTGAGTATGGCTGAGTAGGACTGAGATTTCCAGGAATATTTTCATACACAGAACACCAAGAAACTAAAAAAGAAAAAAAAAAAGAGATTACTACTGTGTGTGTGTGTGTGTATGTGTGTGTGTGTGTGTGTGTGTGTAAAAGCCATGATCTTTTATAGAACAAGGATATCAAAGATAACATTTAAATGTTAAATCTGGGTAGAAATTTTATTATTACATCATACTAAACTACTATGTGGAATTTCCATGATCTCACATGCAGAAAATGATGTCTGCAATGTCTTTCCACTAGAATACAATCTATTTTCTATGTGCAACTGATAATTTTCAACATTTTGAATCCTTACTTGCTTATTCAGGGTTCACAGTTATGATCTATTCAGTAACATACTACACTACTAAGTTGAATTATATTAGTATGAAATGACTCCCATTCTATCGATTTTCTGAGGCACAGCTGGGTTTAAAGAGCCAAAATTTAAAATATCATTCTGATACTCAGAATAATTATCAGTCACTAACTAGTAGCAAGAGTTAGTAAATATAATAGTTTAATGACATTTACACCAAGACACCTGTCCCAATTCTGGCTCAAAATTTTAAAAATCAGTTTAACTTCTCATTAAATACAAGAAGATAAAATGGGAAAGTGAAATTATACTGGTAACTTTTCCCTTGTCTTTGGACATAACAAATTATAAATTCTCAAAAGTCTGAAATATCCTGAAATAGCTAAAATATATTATAAAATTTTAAACAACTTCCTATTTTTGATATAAAATATTCACAGCTCATTTCATGGAAAAAGCCAACCAACCAATCAAACAAAAAAATTTTGCTGGTAAAGAATTAAAAAAAAAAAAAAAAAAAAAAAAAAAGGCAAAAGCCTACCAAAAATATTCTAATAGGGGTTTCCACTTAAATTTTTTATTTGCTTAAAAATTACAAAAACTGCTAACAGATATTAAGTCACCAACAGTAGCACTTAAGTGGATAAAACCAATAAAATCCTCATCGCAGACTCTCCCCCCATGCCTTATTTATTCCCACCCCCACTGAGGTGAAGAAGTTATGCAAATAAGGTAACAAAAAAACAAGATGGAAATCTCAGCTCAGAACTTTCTTGCTTTTAAAATTTATGACAGACAGCACACAGAAGGCTTGCACTGGTGAGTATGTGTAAGAAGCACATTCAGAGCATTCCAGCCAGGCCAAGCAGCGATCTTGTACGGAAAACTCTCACACTTACAAACACACGCTGTGAGGGTGAGGCACAAACAGCATCTGTAGTTTATATTTAGTTTGCTTTGGGTGAAAACAAGAAAGAAGAGCCCAACTACCTCTGAACACTGGGCCAGGCTCAAAATCAAACACTATTTCACTGGGGACAGAATGTAGGAGGGGACTGGGAGTCCGGGAGTGGTATTTCCGAAGACAGCGCATCAGCTGGTTCAAGGGGGCTGTTAGAAGAGAAAGAGAGGGGCAGGCAGACACAGGAAGACAGACACACAGAAGAAATGAAAGAAGTCACGGGGAATAAATAAGATGATTTGAAGCCTGCTTCATAAAATAATTCTGGTTATTTAAAAAAAACTGCTAATTTTCATAAAATCCCAATGACTTTTTAAAAAGTGACTCATAAAAAGGACAAGAAATGGCACTTGATTTTAGGTACTAAGCAGGCTGTCTTTATGACAAAGTTAACTCTATGATGCTAACACAATGGCAACATTTAAATGCTGGATGTACTAGGCAAAGTTACCAAAAGCCACAGCTATAAAGACATACGAAAATCAAACTGGCAGCAACATTACTTGGTGGGCTCATGGAATAACAAACAGAAAAAATTCTTTGTATAACTAAGTCCTACAGTAGTCAATGCTAAGTCTAGAGCGTATGATGCAGGCTTAGTCATTCTGGTAGCTTCACACTTGGACAGAAATGTAACGAAAGGAGGGTATACAAGATTTGCTCAATATAAGTACTTGGAATCTGGGTTTGGATATTTTGAAGATACAGAAGGTCACAGTGAAGAGACCAGTTTTATTAAAAGTCTTCCTTATTAGGCAGAAGACAGCTGAGAAGGGAGGCATGGAAGACTTCCTTCAAGAAAATGCTAAGATAGTGTCAAATACGATCTCTTAGTAAACAATGTATAGGGTAACTTCTCAGAAAAGCTGTTTTCATAAGCAGTTTTTCTTCGCTAGAGTGAATGCTAAATGAAAATTCTGTAAGAAATCTTAATTCAATGTCTCATTTACTAAACAAGAGGGCAAATTAGTTTTTCTATGGGTTCATTCTATAAAATATACATTTCATACACTTCCAAAAAGTTGAAGGGAAGTGGTTGATAAAGTCTGATAAACTGAGAAATTATGGCAGGCAATCCAATGGATGCCCAAGAATGACTTCACAAAGTTAAGTTTTATTTGATTCTAAGCTCAATCTTATCAGAGGAGGCTTCCAAAGCAAACTTAAGAACTCCAGCTTTGGAGATGGGAGAAATTAATAAAGTGGGTAAAATAATTAAGGATCTCTCCTTGGTATAGTATTTTAAAACTGTAGATTGTATATTTAAGATTCTTTTATTTCCCTCATTTTCTTTTTTTGAGACAGGGTTTCACTATGCAGTTGAGGCTGGACTTAAACTCACTATGTAGCCTAGGCTGGCCTCAAACTTGCAGTGGTCCTCCCGCCTCAGCCTCCTGAATGCTTGGATCATAGGTTTGTGCCACCACACCTGGTTTCCCCCAGCTTTCCCCAGTTTTGGTACTCATGAATTAGTTAACATTTCGTTAGCAATAAATGGCAGATACTATAGAAAAAAATTTAGATTTTCTCTACACATTTTTCTCTGTGTCTGTTTCATGAAAGAAGCAAGTATAAAGGAGACAAGCAGCAAAGCAATTGCATTTTTCCCTGAGTTTTTAAAAAAAACAAAAACTGAAATCACTACTTACCTCCGTCACTACGAAACCCTTGGTCTCTAATCAAATCCTACAAATAAATGGTAAAGTATATTTATTCAAAGCATACAGTAAGAAAGAGACAGCAACACTGAATTTTCTACTACATATTAACAGAAAGATTAATTCAAAACACCTGCCTTAGCATTTCTTTGCAAAACGAAGACTATGAAATTAATTAGTGTATATGATAAAAACTAAATTTTGAGCTGGGTGTGGCAGCATATGCCCATAATCCCAACACTTGGGAGGCTGAGGCAGGAGCTTGTTGTGAGTTAAAGGCCAGCCTGAACTACACAATGAGTCCAAAGCCAGCCTGAACCACATAAGGAGACCTTGTCTTAAAAAAACTAAAAAACAAACAAACAAAAAACTAACCTTTGAAGTACTTGGCAACCTAACCTTATTCTGAAGGGATCATTCACTAGTCCTGATCAAATAGTGAAATCCATTGCAGGCCATTCAAAACCAACGGCTTCAGCAATCCTTAAAGAAAATCCTACTGGCACATACTAAGAGCCATAAAAATGTTCATACCCTTTCATTCTGGAATTGCACTTCTAAGAATTTTTCCTGAGGAAATAATTTGGAAGAAAAAAATGATATGCACAAAGATATTTGGTGGAACATTATTCAGTATACTAAAAAATCCGAAATAATTATTTCCCAGGGGCTGGGGATCTAGCTCAACAGCAAAGCGCCTGCTTGGGAAGTGCAAGGTCGTGAGGTCAATTCCTGGTACCGGAAGAAAAACAAAACAAAAACAAACAAACAAACAAAAAGAAATAATTATTTCCCTATTATAGGTTTTTTGAGGTATTATGGTTAAGTCATGGTCTATCAATTTAATGAAGCATTATGCAGTTACCAAAACAATTCTGAAAGCTAAATCATGAAACATGTTTATAACACAATTTTAAAAAGTACAAAATTAAAAGTACACTGAATACCATCACAAAAATATGAATGCACAAGGACACACTAATCCAAATAGCTCAAATAAGGACTTCATTAAAATGTCTTAATTGTTAAATTAAAGCTTTTTACAACAATGTCGGTGGGGGAGAGTCTCTCCTGGTAGTAAAGTTTGGATTTAGACAGGCAGAATTTGGATGGGTTTGCTTACTTCACTTGAATGTATGGGACTGAATGGCCTCAAATGTCTCTAGGCTCTTTGCAAACAGGACTTTTTTTTTTTGAGACAGGGTTTCACTATGCAGTTGAGGCTGGCCTTGAACTCACTTTATAGTTCTGGCTGGCCCCAAACTTGCAGTGATCCTCCTGCCTCAGCCCCTTGAGTGCTGGGATTACAGGCATGCGCCAGCACACCTGGCCAAACAGGAAGCTTTTTGCTCTCTGGCTAAAACAAAGAGTACATTCTTTATAGAGGTATATTTCTACCACATTCAATGTATTACATAAGGTCTTTCACATGTTTTATAGTATCAACAAATACTTTTATAACTGCAAAGTGGTAGGTGTTAGTGGTTGTGTGGCTATCAATAAGTATAAAATCCTTTCTGTGGTTCTGAGTTTGTAATTTCATTTAAAAAAACCAGCATAATCTATAATCTCATTGGAAGTGAGATGTACACATGAAAATTAAATATTTATTAGGACTATAATGAAAGATGTCAGTGTTTTGTAATATTACTGCTAAGTGATAAGACTTTTAATTGCACCTCTGGGCATGATGGTGCACGCCTGTAATCCCAACACTAGGGAGGCTGAGGCAGGAGGATTGCTGAGAGTTAGAAGTCAGCCTGGGCTACATAGTGAGTCCAGGCCAGCCTGGAATACATAGCAAGACCCTAACTCAAAAAAAAATTTTTTTATTGCTATCTATAATAAACTATAGAATCTGGTCACTGATGGAGCTAAGAAATGTCTCCGAATTGGGGTTTAAGGAATAGATAGGAGTGTAGAAATGCAAATAACCCAGAAGAGAAAGGTCAGAGCTATTTTCTTTTTGCTATGCCATACCTGAAACTCAGAACACCCATGGATTAATCAAATTTGGCTTTTTCTACTGTTACAAGGCATTGCTAGTGCCAATACAAACTTACATTTTAATCTCAAATGTGTTCTTAAAGCTTCTTGATAATCTTTCTGCTTGTTCTAGGTTAAACAGGATAGCCTAGCACTTCAAAATTGGCTATTTCAAACTCTTCCCTACTTTCTTGTATTCTTTCTCTTGTATCCCTTTTGTTTAGCATGGTAGAGATAACAAATTAAAGAACTTTCAGTCCTGCCTATCTACAAATATTTATACAGTAGTACTAGCTATAATTTCCGTATTACCTGTAATTCTTATTCTGTACCAGGCATAAAAAGCATTTCCAACCATTACAGGAGGCAGACATCATCAGCTTTGGGGTTAAGTAATTTGCCCAACATCATGCAAAGAGCTAAGTCCATCTTTTAATTCCCCATAACCTCGGAGGGACATCAGTTTTCTTTTTTTTGTCTTTTTGAGACAGGTCTCACTATGCAGTTCAGACTGGCCTTGAGCTCACTTTGTAGGCCAGGCTGGTCTCAAACTCACAATGATCCTCTTGCCTCAGCCTCTCTAGTGCTGGGATTACAGGCGTGCACCACCACGTCGGCTCTTGCATGTAACATTTTGTAACTTGGCTGTTATGGGTGAAGTTCACAGTGTTGGCTGGTTATTTATAGTTACAACAGTTACAACACTGAATAACATATCTAAGTATTACCCTTGTCCTCTTCCTTTCCTTTCTTTTGTCCTCCTGCCTCTTCTTTGTTTCATTCATGTGCTTTTTTGCTGTTTGGTTTTGCATACTAGGATTGAACCCGGGACCCTGTAAGTGCTTGCCAAGCCCTTCACCACTGAGCTCTGTTATGTCCTCAGCCTTTTGATTACTTTTTTTTTCCCTTTTGTCTTTTTGAGACAGGGTCTTGCTATGCAGTTCAGACTGGCCTTGAGCTCACTTTGTAGCCCAGGCTGGGCTTGAACTCGCAACAATCCTCCTGTCTCAGCGTCCCAAGTACTGGGATTACAGGCGTGCGCCACCACACCCAGCTCAGGGACATCATTTTTATTTTTTTATTTTTTTATTTTTTTGGTTTTTCTCCAGTACCGGGAACGGAACTCACGACCTTGCGCTTGCCAGGCAGGCGCTTTGCCGCTGAGCTAAATCCCCAGCCCCATTTTTTTTTT